GGAGCTTTATACTCTGCTATGTATATTAAGCAATATCTGTCACATATTTTGGATGAGACCTTTAAAAATACCTACTGTAATCTTATGTGAAAGATATACAAAGTGAGTTGAAACGTGGTGGAATTATTCTTTTAATATCACAACTTGTTTTTCATGTTATCTGAGAGAGGAGACCATTACCTAAGTCACATCTATTTATTTTATTTGAAGAACTTAGACATGTTTTCCTCAAATGATTTTCTTGTTTTGTTGGTTTTCAATTATTTATGGAAAAAAATTGATGAGTTAAAAATTCTGCCTGCTGAAATACTAATGGCATGTTCTTTTTTTAAGAGAGAGAATTTTTTAATATTTATTTTATTTATTTATTTTAGTTTTTAGTGGACACAATATCTTTATTTTATTTGTATGTGGTGCTGAGGATCAAACCCAGTGCTCCAAGCATGCCAGACCAGGGCATTACTGCTTGAGCCACATCCCCATCCCATGGCATGTTCTAAAATAAACATTACATGGAGTACTTTTTCTTCAGCATGTTAAATCAAAACATTATATTTACCTGTTCTGAGCTGTACATTTTTTTTCATTTTGCATGTCTAAAATCATGATGAGTTATATAATCAATAGTTAGTTATAATATTTTCAACCAGTTGGCAAGAGATACATAGGCAGTATTTCTTAAGCATGTGTGAACATGGTTCTTGCTGCTTTGTGTCAGTTCTGTTACATGTACTCTTTATATGTGTTGAAATTGTCAATTGACACTTCTTCATATTGATTGCATTATGATTTAGACTAGAATAAAGAATTGTCTAAAAAGAAAGGCACAAAATTGCAGCAAAATTAAATTTCATATGATGAAGCAAACATTTTATTGTTAAAACATTGACTACAATTCCGTATTTTTATTTTTTTAATCTTTTTTTTTACTAATCATCAGCTAAGCAAGTTATGTAACCTTGCTTTTTATGTCAACTCGGGACCAACTGTGTTGGCATCTCTAAGGATCTTGTTAGAGATGCTGAACCATGGGCTCATCTCAGATCTACAAATCAGAATCTGGGTTTTAACAAAATCCCTATATAATTCTTTTTTACCTTAAAGTTTGAAAATCACTTTATATAAATTTATAAAAACTTTATTGTACCACACAAGATATCCACAGAGTAAAACTTTTATATTTTACTACTGAGATATGAACTGAGCATTTGCCTCCCATCAGCTATGCAATGCAGCTTGAAACTGGTGAAAAAAACTTTAAAAAGCACCAGGACACTATGTGGTTGACTCAAAAATTAAGATGGCAATATTCATTGACATCAAGTTCCAAATGAAAGGTCTTCTGTAAGCTCTATTTAACTTAGGTATTTGTTTGCTTGCTTTTGTGGTACGGAAAATTGAACCTAGAGGTGCTGTACGACTGAGCTACATCCCTAGGCTTTTTATTTTTATTTTTATTTTTTTTGAGACAGTTTTTCTAAGTGGCTGATGCTGGCCTTGAACTTGTGATCCTCCTCCCTTAGCTTCCTGAATAGCTGGGATTACAGATGTTCGCCAAGGCATCCCTCTCTCTATTTAGGTATTAAGTAGATTCTACTGATAAGAGAAAATTGTGCTATAGTTTATTTGGCAGCATTATTTTTCTTTCCAAGTGGTACATAAAATCACGTTGTAATTTAGAACACAATGACTTTGATAAAATACAAAAATTCACACCAGTGCAATATATCACAAATCCATTAGGTATCATGAAAAATATAACTCTTGTTCCTACAGATGTGTGCATTTGAGATAACTGGATAAAGTGACATAGAAAATATTTAATGTGTATAGCTTAAAATTTATCATACTAATTATTTTATTATTAACTAAGTCTTCTCTGATAAATGACATTTTCCAAAGTTATTGCAGTATACTTGAAAAATAACAGTTGCATATATTTCGATGTAAACCTTGAAGAATTGATATACATAAATTATTAGGAAATGGTTACTATAATCAAGCTAATTAAAATAATCAGCTCAATGTATCACTATAATTTTTGTGGTAGGAAAGCAAGATGAATTCTCTTAGTACAATTTAAGTATATAGTGCAAAATCATTAATATAATCATCGTACTATACATTAGATTTCTAGAATTTATTCATCTAATATACTGAAACTTTATTCTCTTTGATGAATGACTGTTTATATAAGAAGAAGAAGAAGAATTAATAAAACTATTATTCACATTTTATTTTTATGCTACATTAAATAATGACAGTGGATATTTGCTCTAAGTTAATACAGTAGCTACATTAATAGTAAATTAGCTCATTATAACTTTGATACATATAATGAATATAAAATTAACACTTGTGAGTGAATTTTTAACCACAAAAATAAACTTGATAAATGGTTTAAGATGTTGGACCTAAATATCTGCTTTTAGTTTCATATTTTAAATAATTTATCTATATTCATATCTCATCCATATGTTCTTAGTTGGCATTTAGTGTAACCAATGAAATTTCTATTTAAAAAATGTCACTTTTATTCTAAATGACATTGAGAACACTTTATTCACTTAAAGTCTTGGGTCAAGTCTGTGGTTGCTGACTATTAGACAGTCTACATCCTATTTTTTCCTAATTTAATTATTTATTTATGATGATCTCTGTCATACTTTGTGCTTGGCATGCTGAAAGTAATGGGATTTTTTGTTAAGGCAGAACAGTAGGTTTTGAGGACAGTGAAAGAATTAAAGAGCCAAGCCCATCTCACCTACCTAAATGGCTTTCTCTGCCACATCATGTTGAGCTGTCTGGAGATACAAGTCAAATGATGAACAGGCAAGGGAGATCAATTGAATTTTACTACCAAACAGGAAGAGATGGATATGAGTTCAAATGCTTCTTCCAAAATTTACATTTTGATATTCTAGGGCACAGCATCTTTTGTATTGCAGATACTTAGTAAATACTTTTTAAATAAAAATATGCTGAAAATTGTTATGATTTGGGGTTATGCCCATTCTTAACTGAGTATTGTGCAGATTTCAATGAACAGGCCATTTTTAGGCTGTTTTAAATGATTAGAAGATCATTTGAGACAGACACACAATATATTTTGTTTTATTATGTGCCTTCATCTCCAACATTTTATTAGGGTTTTTCACTAACTTGTGAAATAAACAAATTTTAATAATGCCACTTTGTGTCCTGTAATATAATAGATTGTCACAAGTAGCAGGGGGTATCTGGTTTATATTATCTTATACAATTATTTTCATTGTTTAGGCCCTCTGTACCTTATATTTTTTTTTAAAAAAAAATAGCTTAACGTGAATATACTTCTATTTTGCTCCAGATGCCCTGTGGAATATTTTGCACTCTATAATCATGATGATTTAAAATTACATGACAGAAATGTCTGATTGTTGACAAATTAATGGGGAATACCCTCTGCATGTGAAATCTGGCATGATCACTTAGACTATTGCACATATTATTTATCAAACCTACCTTTTTTGTAGCAATTGCTTGAAAGGTAAAATCTGGACATATTTGGATGTGTAAGCAAAGTTGAAAATTTTTCTGAAAGCATGAAGGTCAGAAATAATGACAATCATTTTATAGTTCTTCATGAATCTGTGTCTTCCTGAGACCAGCAGCATCTGAATTATGGGAGCTATTTAGAAATACAGAATCATGCAAAGGGTGGGAAGAGTCCCACCTTTCCAAGCTCAGGGACCACACAGGTCCACACAGTCTTCTCTGAGGAATATATGATAGAGGCTGGTAGGAGGGAACATGTAACAGCACCAAGCAGTGAGACAACCTGCTTGTAGCCATGCCAGCTGCTATCAGTGCCGGCTGCCCCCCACCATGCAGCACGGAGCTAATTGCCACCTTGACACAGGGGAACATACCTGTACATAGCACCCACAACAACACCACAAGGACCATGCCTACAGAGGTACACAACTGGGAAGGGTAGGGGTTCTAGATTGCCAGCAACATCAGGTAGGCCCCAAAGAGCAAGCCCCACAGAGAGAGACCTCACAGCACTACTAGGGACCTTGATGAGGACTGGCTCACCCTTGCCTCCACAGAATCACCACCAGTAGACCCAGGTTCCCCAGCACCTCAAGCATAGAAATGTATGAGGGGAGACTCCAAACCTCTGAGAGGTCTCTCACTACCACAGGCAGCTCCACCAGATCCTATTGACCACAGCCCACATGACCATGCAGAGGAGGGCCACCAGAAGGTGGATTAGTACCAGGCACCCCAAAGAGGATGCTGCCATTGAGCCAAATGTGGGCCCTCCAGGTGCTGGTTAAGGTCACAGCGCATTCTTTTCCTCAGGCGGTGTCCATGCAAGTTAAAATTTCAGAAGTGCTGCTAGTCAATTATTTTTTTCTGATCTCCAGTAAACAGGAAATTTTAGGGGCAAGATCTTGACTCCCAAACCTTGTCTTGAAATTAGACATGATTTATGGCATTTTCAAATGGAATGGAAATCATACATGATTTGATTCTAGAACAGAAAAGCAATCTCCATTTTACATGCTTTAAATCCCTGTAGAATCATGTCTGCTTATGTTCTTGTGAATTTTTGACTTATATAATATTATTTTTTTCCCAAACAAAGAATAAAAATTACAGCCACTAAATGAATTCAACTGTCTCTGTTGCACTGGGTCTTTTATTGACAGTCTCAGAATGTTATTTTAGCTTTCTCAGATTTTTTTTTCTTAGACTTGTAGAAATCATGCTGCTTTGTTCTCTGCAGGAGTTAAAATAAAATATTAGTAATTATGCATATTTAATTTTCAAAAGGCCAAGTGATTACTCATAGCACATTTAAAAAAGGAAAATGATTTCAGATATTCATAAAATGTTTCCTTGGTAAGGGGCTTTCAAGTCTAAAGTTGTATTATTATGAATACTTTTTCTCATGATGATCAGAATGAAAAATGAGTTTATTAACATTCTACTTCTTTTTTCTTTTCCAGATGCAAGACAAAAGTCTACCCTGATGAACTTCCCAACACAAGTGTAGTCATTGTGTTTCATAATGAGGCTTGGAGCACTCTCCTTAGAACTGTTTACAGTGTTATAAATCGCTCCCCACACTACTTGCTCTCTGAGGTCATCTTGGTAGATGATGCCAGTGAAAGAGGTATAACATATTTTTCTTGTACTTATTTTATTATAAAGCTTTATTATGGTAAAAAAGATAGCCAAGCAATGATCTGTATTTTGCTTTATAACCAATCAACATCCTATCAAATTTTCATCAGTATATTTTGACAGTGTTCACTCCAGGAAAAATTAACTAATTTAGTTTTGTTATTATTCTTTTTGGCCTTTATTAACCTAAGAGATCAGCCAAAATGACTTTCAAATATATTTCTTTTCCCCCATCAATTGTTTATATTTAAAATTTATATCACTGAATATATAACATTAATTAACTAGTGAAATTTCTTATATGATTTTCCCTAGTGCAAAAAAAAAAAAAAATTCTAAGATTTGGTCACCATTTCTGTATGTTGTATTTCTGCCTTGAAAGTATCTCTACTCTGTCTTAAAACTTTCAATTTTTTTTGAAATAAAAAGAATTCTCATTGCATGTTACAGATTTTCTCAAGTTGACATTAGAGAATTATGTGAAAAATTTAGAAGTACCAGTAAAAATTATCAGGATGGAAGAGCGCTCTGGGTTAATACGAGCCCGTCTTCGAGGAGCAGCTGCTTCAAAAGGGCAGGTCATAACGTTTCTGGATGCACACTGTGAATGCACATTAGGGTGGCTGGAGCCCTTGCTGGCAAGAATAAAGGAAGACAGGTAGGGATTCCTGTGTTATGTCTGCATGGGTTATGACTGACCTGTGAGGACAGTTTCAGCTGTCCATCAGAATTCTCTTCCAAGTTGCTATTTTCAGAAAGTTTACTTCACAGTTTTTTTTCTTTTTTAAATATTTTTCTTTATTTAATACAAAAGATTGGCTTATTCATGTTGAACATTAGTGTTTAAGAAATAATTCAAACCATAAAAATGTGCTGAATATTTAGTTTTTAAGTGAAGGAAATCAATTTGAAATAGTACAATATGTTATAAGCACATTTCCAAAGCAAATTTCTGTGTCCTCACAAACCCAGTGTGAAGTAGGTAATGTAGATGTTCTTATCTGTAACTTATAATAGGGAGTAATAAAGAAGTTACATACCTTGTGCCAGTAGTTAGCAGTATTGGGAACAATTGTTTAGTTCTTCCTACTCTCTCACCAGGGTTTGCTTACTGCATCAGTGCCCTTAGTGAGAGTCTAGTTCAAAATCACTTTGAGGTTTTTAAGAATAAACACACACACACACACATACACACACACACACATACACACACACACACACTGCCAAAATAAATCAGGATTTAAAAAATTAGAGATTATAATTTTAATAGTATTGGCACTTTCTACATATAAATTGTGAAATTTTAAAACTGAGTAACTCTCTACAGAAGTTAAGAACCCTCATACATATCTACATTTATTTCTGATGATGAAGCTATGAAGTACAAGCTTTTTAGCATTGGTGAAAATTCTAAACACTTAATGAACATAACTAACACTAAATGCCATCTGATGCAATAACAAAGCATTACATACCAACTCATTTATATATTCATTATATATAGTAAAAGAGTCTTTCTAGAATTAAAGTTTTTAATTAGATGCTCCAGTGAGGGACTGCTTAGTCTGAGCTTGTTCAACCTTATCACATAAATGGCAGGATTTGGAACTTGCCAGGAAGATGAATAGAGGCTGTCACTAAAATGAACCACAGCAGTTCAAGAAAGCAGTGAGAACCTTTTAGTCAACTGAAGGTAATACACAGCTAATAACATTTTGTGTGTTGTACAGTACCCACAGGAGAGTAAGACGGGCAAAGTAGAATGAATCTGGAACATAAAATGCATTACTGGCAACATTTCAAATGTTATACTGCTTTGTAAATGCATGTATTTCACATTTAACTTCAGAATTTTTTTTAATATAATGTTTCATTATGGTCACACATTAGGCACATTTATTTTTACTAACAATGTATTTGTATTACATTTGTATATAGTGAACTTCTATCTCTTTTCCTGATTATAAAATCTAATATTGCCATAACTAGATAATATAGTCTGTTCAAAGTTATTAGATCTAATTTTTTCTTTCTCCAAGTTAAATCTAATGAGGAAAGAAAGATAATGACTTTGTTGTGTTTAGAATCACCAAGAAACTTTTCCAAGGCCAGGTGCATCATGCTGATTTCAGAGAACTTCAGGGTTGGCCAATAGTGTGAAACATGAAACTAAGTTAATAGTTTTGATGATCCTGGTGTTACAAAACAAGAAGAAATAATGGGCAATGCTTCCTTTCTTTCTACATCTATGGGTTACTTTGGAGCCTGTTTGTATATTTGTCTCCTACCCAATAAGAAAAACACCTCTGTTTTTCAGAATTAGCTACAATCAATGCAATCCTGGGGAGACCTGAACTTTTATTTGTGTAGATGACAGAAAGTTTAGCCCACAAGAAAACACATAAACTTGGAGTAGGGGAAGAGTGAGAGAAGACAAAACATAGATTAAAAGAGTACCTAATGATTTCCCCAAGTAAAGTGTTCTAAAACCTACCATCTTAAAAGTTACCATCAAGAACATAAAACATCCTGGCTTTCTTCTAACTTTAGGATTAGGAGAAAACATGAGACTAAAATGGCTAATGTTTCCCTGTCTTAAAATTTCATCTGATTGTTAACAACTGGAAATTCTTAGTTATAGGACAGTTGACTCAGAAATTGTCATAAACCCGTTTTTCTTCATGGGAAGCTTTACTTACTCTGATAGTTCATGATGTTAATTGTTTCTGTTTGTTGTGTTTCCTAGTAGGTGTTTTCTTCATGAAGATTTTCTCAGAACCCTTACTTTAACATAACCAAACCAATTTGAAAGGCAAACTATCAGACCTAATTTTTTAGCATCCATTTCCCTCTCCCTATATTCTATCACTTTTCAGTGGGCTGTAGCTGAAATGATGCATAATCTCAAAATGAATCTACTAATCATGCTGTGGGTGGAGGTTTTATAAAAAATAGATCATTTTCACCCTGCTGATTTAGTACTTGGAATACACTTGGAAATCAACTTGAAGGTCAATTCATGTACTTGATTAGATTTTACATGATTACATAAAGTTTACCATCAGAAAGATATAATAAAAGGAAATAATTTCCTAGAGTAAAAGGACAAAATAAAATTAAGGCATACTTAAGTCACAAAATAATTAAATTATATCTTAGCCGCTAAAACCAATTTAAAGAAGCTAATGTAGTATTTAAATGATCCTTTATATGTAAACTGGTTTTAATTTTTCTTCAGGAAAACAGTCGTATGCCCCATCATTGATGTGATTAGTGATGATACCTTTGAATATATGGCTGGGTCAGATATGACTTATGGGGGTTTTAACTGGAAACTAAATTTCCGCTGGTATCCTGTTCCCCAAAGAGAAATGGATAGGAGGAAAGGAGACAGAACATTGCCTGTCAGGTAAGTCATACCAAACAACGAATAGCATGTGTGTTTCTATAAAAGTTAAATAATATTATAAATTTTTGTTCTAATATTTATCGTTCTACAGTCCTAAATTTATTATTCCTATGTATACATACATGATTGTAAAGGGTAAAATGTATGTATATGATATTAAATCTACTTTAAGTTAATATGAAAAAACTGAACTATTTGTAGAAATGCCAAATATGCTTTAAAGGTTTATATATTCTTATATTCAAAATATATTTACTACAAATTTTATGTGACAGGAATGTGCAACACTGGATACATTAAGGAAATATATGTCTTATTTAGAAGTTTATACTTCATAGTAGACATATTCTCAAAACTGAATTAACAAAAAATGTTTTGGTACATATCTAAAATTATCAACCTTTAAATGCTTATCTTCATTTAGAGACAATGTAAAGAACCATATGGAAAACTTTAGTATATTAACAATTTTGAAGGATTTATTGTTGGTTTCAAATTACTTCAAATAGCTATTTATTTGGAATATTTTTAGTAAAATATTTATGTTCCCTTAATTAAAAAAAAGAATATTATGCATATTTGGTTGTCTAGATAAGTATTATTATCACAAAAGTATCACCTTCCTAATTTAACACATTGCTGTATACTTCTTACCTACAATCAAAAATTGGTTTCCTAAAAATTTTTGGAGGAAATATTCACTAATTTAACTCTTTAAAGTTGAATTCGGCAAATCATCATTCTATTGTAACAATAGAGAAATATCCCAAAATTCTAAAATAACGTACATATAATCCATTCTATTAAAAACTGCTTTCTGGCAAACTACTGAAAGCATGATCTATTCCTTGTTAACTACTTATTAATCAAAAACTAATCTTAAAAATTGTCTAATAGAGGAGAGCACCTCTAATTACTTGTTATTGAGTAATCAAAAATTATCAGCTATTAACTTCTAAAGGAAATACTACCCCATCAACTAGAATGGAATGTGATTACTAAAATTTGCATAACAACAAGTAAATTATCATGTCAATATTTAAAGCATAATTTAGTGGTTTTTAAGTCTTGTGTCATCACTTTCACCCAGTTCTAATAATAGTTACCTTTAACAACCTGAGTAAATACAATGTCTCATACATAATACCACCATTATTAGAAATCCTCTTTAGCTAGATCCTGGCTTCATTTAGTGTTAGCTGGTTTTTAAGCTTCAAAGCCCAAATGAAAAATATCAAAATGCTTGACCAATGCGCTTAAATATAAGTAATGTGTTTATTGATTTGAAAATGAATTTTATAAGAATACACATTTGTACTTGTTTTTAAAAAAACAAGATTTTTTTAAACTTCATTTTCTCAGAGTCAAAAGATACATAATTAAGGTAGCTATCCATTCACAGTAAGAAATTACTAATCTGATTCATGGACGTAAAGATCTACACAGAAATCAACCATAATTACTCATTTTTCATTAACTGAAACAAAAGATGAATCACCCAACTCTCTGTATTTAACCAGAATTCATGTGGTTTTATTGAAGTAAGGTGAGAACTGATAAATGTCTCAGCATTTTATTTGCCTAGTAACTACACACCATTTCATTTTCTAAAATACTGAAGAAGCTAGAGGAAGAGAAGTGGAGAAACTGCAGTGTCTGCTGAAGTTTCTAGATTTTTATGGCAGAAGGTTAATTAATTCACTGGCTCAGTTGTAACAGCCTGCAGGTAATTTTCATCAGCATAGCTGTGATGTGAACTTTCTTTGTACTTGTGATCTATTACTTGAAGATGTGATCATTTTTCTCACATTCATACAAATAGATAAATCATTCCAGGCATTGAAGATAATTTTTTTCCCACATGATTAACAGAATTCTGAATAGCTAAAGTGATTAAAATGAGGTTGAAATTTTAGTTTTCTTAGTGGAATGCTTCATTTAAAATGTCACTAATGACAGTAGTTTGTAGTCATCATACTTGGCTGGTCATCATATAGAAATACAATCATGTATCTGCAAATAGTACCAACTTGAACTGGTGGCCTACATTCAGTGATACTACATTTAGAGTCCAGCTAATAATGCTTATACTTATTTTTTTGGGGGGTCAGTTTCTAGTCCTTAGTGTTTTCTTTCTCATAATAGATGGAGTATGTGAAGTAAGTTTTTAAGTTACGAGTATGGAATAATAGCATGAGTCCTGAATATTTAGTCTGATTTAATCAGTAAAGTCTCTTGACATGTTAGTAAATTGTATGAGTTTTTAGGAATGTCTCGATTATGCATGCAACAATAGAGTAAACAAATTGTTAAGCCAGAGGTCATAAATAGGAGCTCGTGTGCCAAAAAATGCTTTGTAGTTGTGTTTTAGTTAGACTACGTAGTGTTTTGCCTTTTCAAAAAGTAGCATCAGTTGTAAATGAGAAGTATTAAATAACATCTGGGTTTCCAGCTATTGAGAAGTTAAAGAATCTTGCCACAATATCTCCTTATTCTTACTTGGCACCATCAGGCAGAGCTAAATAGAAAATGCCCATATGAAATTAACTGGAAAGTTTAGCCTACTCCCTCAAAACTCCTATAAGTGTGTCTCAGACTCTGAGCCTGAGGGTCAGTTGCTACTTGTCACCATTCATATACTTGGAGAAATATTTCTCAGCATCTGTGTGCCAAGCAAAGTTGAGAGAAATACATTTACTGCAACCAATTGACTTTGCATAAATAACTTTGTTTGGCTTTAACCTTTTAAATGTGTGACCCTCAACTTGAGGAATGGTTGAGTTTGAAACCTAAAGAACATTAGCCCTCCAAGAATACACAGTTATGTTGCCTAATGAAATACAAAGAATAGCAAAATGACTTGATAATGCAGATAATCCTACAAATCATTTAGTATACCTGAGGACATGGTATATATTTTTATTAACACAAAAATTAACGTGATTTGGTCTAAGCTATTGAGATGACTCTGATTCCACAGGAAAACACACATACAGACACACTTGTCGGCACTATGCTAGATTTTTTACATACAAACATAGATAAAGAGATCTCTGCTCTAATGTTGTTTATGTTCTGGCATTGGTCATATGTATGCTAGATGAGAGAGAGGGAGAGGCCAGAATATGAGGTCTGAGGGTGGCTCCATAGGAGTTAATTGTGTGTACTACTAGAGCGGTGAATAGTTCTGAAAAAGAACCTGACTTTAATCTTATGGATTGCATTAATTTTTTAATTATGCCCTATAAGTGACCCTCAATAAATAGTTATAAAAATATTCATTTTCCCTTTAATTTCTGGATATTTAAAAAAAATTTCCTAATTAGAAAACTACTGGTTATTTTTCAAATCTGTTTAACTTTTTTACTCTCCATATCTTACCTTATGGACACTTACATTTTGTCATTATTCATATTCTTAATATGATTTCTTTCATTCGTATGTGGAGTACCACGTTAAGTATATTCTAAAGTACAACAAAGGAGTTTTAGATTTTTTATTAGTCCTTAGCTATTCTAATGAATCAAGCATAAATTTAATTATTAGATTTTATTCCTGACATATTTTATTTACTTATTATACATCCCATTTCATCAACATCACTCTCAACTCATGCATCTATTTTGCACTTATTTAGAATTAGGAATTTCTTAAAAATATCAAATAAATAACATGATTGATAGAATCTTGAATTACAACTGCTCTGTCTTCATATCATTAAAGGCTCAGGGTGTTCATACGCATTGTCTTGTGAATCCTTTTACTGTTGTAATCCCAGAAGAAGTTTTGAATTTGTGGGATAGGGTCAAGTTTTTGCAGGCTTCTCCATTTGAGGAACTGATCCCACTCTTTTAAATATAAAATGGGAATTTTCCTCCATGCCTTGTTTAACTCATGAAGTGCTATAAACTATTTAATGAGTAATATATTTGTCAGAAGTAGATGATAAATTTATGGAACACACATGTGTTGCAAAATAGATGTGAAAAGAACCCAAAAGTATAAAAACAATTAGTCAGCCACCTCTTTTAATATTTTTGTTTATTTCCTTCCAGAGTATTTCTTTCCAGATTCATTTAAAATTTGACACTGATGATATTTATCAGTACTTTCCAAAGCTATTAAGGTATTCTTTTTCTCACAAATAAAAGTCTTAATGTCTGCTAAAGCCTCACTTACTTAGCTCCCCCACTATTTATTTTGTAGCAAAAGTGAATCAAGGTTTATTTACACTTTATTATTTTTTTTATTTTTTACCAATTATTTCTTATTTTTTTAACCTACACTCTTTTCATATGATGTGTATTTTTCAGAATTTTGCAATTTGATAATATAAAATTTGTTTTTTATGAAATTTGCTTATTAATATATAATTGGTTTCTTGGTACCTCCTGCTAGTGTTATGATTCTGCCCTCCTCCAAAATAAGAAATGTTGTCATTGTCTTTAACTTATAATTTCTCTAGTTAGTATAATCAATGATAAACATTTTATTCTATAATTTTTATGTAAAAATAAAAGATCTTATACTTAATAGTAACTAACAGTTTGTTTCTTAATTTAAATCTACTAGTTTTTCTTCATTCAGCTTTTTTCAACCCAAATACTTTTATATTTGAGAAAAGAAACAAATAGATATCAGCAAAACCTTTAAGATACTTCTTTTTTTAAGAGAGAGAGAGAGAGAGAGAGAGAGAGAGAGAGAGAGAGAGAGAGAGAATTTTAATATCTGTTTTTTAGTTTTCGGCGGACACAACATCTTTGTTTGTATGTGGTGCTGAGGATGGAACCCAGGCCACACGCATGCCAGGCCAGTGCGCTACCGCTTGAGCCACATCCCCAGCCCATTTAAGATACTTCTATACAAATTGGAGATATTAAAATACTGGCATAGGGAAGGATCAACATCATGAACAGAACAAATGCTTTGAAAGAAACAATTTTAAATTGGGATGTTCAACTGTTTGACATTCTTAATTCCTCATATTAAAATCTAAAATATGTTTATTTCAAGAGATAAAAGTTTTAATCTCAGATAGAGTCTTTGAACCTATATTCTATATAGAAAGAGTATATTTATTTTATATTGTTTCCTAATGTTTTGCAAGACTTTTCTTAGCAGACTGTAGAGATGAGAAGATAGCAGAGATCTCATAGAAAGATTCAGGATTGTGAATTAAATATTACATATATATACTGAATAATGTTATCATATTAGTCAAAGCATTGTCATGCATCTGATTCCAGCTAGTATTATTATTTATTTTGAACCTTCTCAGGCAAAAAAGAAAAATCAAAGGAAATATTAAGTTTGTACCAACTATTACACATCTTTTTGGAAGCTTGGGGTTGTATCAGTTTATGAAGATTATAAAAAGCTAAAGGTAGAAAGTATCTGCTTTTTTTTATTAGAAAGAGGGTCTTTAAGCACAGGTTAAGGTATTTAATTCACACACTTATTGGTAAATGGGTTCTTGGACTCCAAAACAACTCATTTTCCTATACTAAACAGAACTTTATATTTTTTCTCAACCTTTACAAATAGTATTGACTGCTTTTGTGTTTCATAGACTCTAAGGACTTGAGCAAGCTTCACTGCTCAGAGTCTAAGCCAGCATAAGCCCTTAAAGTAAAATTCCTCTTTACAGAAAGCTGCATCTTTATCCCCAATTGTATGCACAAATGATTGTGCAGTATATAATATTCTACCAAAATTTTCATTTTTCAGCTGTAAAATTTTTAAATTACATTCACATTTGACATTCAGTGCTGCAGTAGAAGAGGGTTTGTGCCTTTGCTTTCTTTCTCTCCACTGAGCTCTCTGTACTGAGTGTGGTGGACAAGATGAGGCAGGAAGGGAAACTCACAGCATTTCATTTTCCTTTGGTTTCTATGTCTGGAAAATACTGAACCAAATAAAACCATTGTATTGTATAATGTAAAAATTCAGAATTATGTGAAGACTTAAGTTCTTTAAGACACACTTTACACAAGTGTGATAATAATAAAATACTCATCTTTATCCATTATCTTAATTATGAATAATATTTGAGACATGTTACTAAAATAGACCTAAATACCAATAGTCTAGAAATTGAGTTATCTAACCACTACAAATAATAGCCTATAGAATTTGGAGGGTTTGGGGAGGAAATAAAAATGAGTAATTAGAAAAGCAAAATTGACACCCAGGGAAGTGAGAACAGATAAGGCACCAGCCTCATAAACACAGTTATAGGCATATGCAAATGATCGTTTCCAGGTAAAGAGGAGAGAAAGAGTAACATGCCAAGAGACACTCTTGAGATACCCTTCTAAAGACCCGTTTTGGACAAGAGAAGATAATTGCTAAGTGCATATATCCACAAAAACATTTTAGTGACATAACATACTCATGTGATACATATACAATATGTCCAAAGTCTTACAGCTAGAGAGGGAAGAAAAGGAAGGAATGTCAGTAAAAATTACAAAATGAATGGTCAAATCAGTAGAAGGAATGATCTCTATAGAACAATGAAATTCCAGAAAGAAATTATTGCAGAAATGGGAGCAGGATCCAAGCTTCTTAGTTTGAAGGTCAAAAGGAGTTGAGGGAGTAGGTAGAAAGTATCCTTTTGATAAGGTTACCAGTGGAGGGAATAGAAATGTTTGTCCCTAGTTTGAATAAGCTGTGTAATGGAATGAAGATGTACTTTGGTTTAGGAGAGAACTTAATTGAGCATGTTTGTAAGCTCCAAGGGACAATGTAAAAATCAAAGGCATAAAACTAAATGCAGTAGTCAGTGAACAAGTGGCTGACAGAGTATTCACGAGAGAGCAGGAGTGTGAATGTTAGCCCACAGCATAGGAGCAGAGGTATTCTTTCCTGAGACACAAGAGGAAAGAGGGGGTCATGAGGAAGACTCAAACATATTGAGCTAGAGTTTGAGGGAGTTTAGACTTCATGCACCTCCCTAATTCCAGGGTTCTTAAGTGAATTCAAAATTTTTGGAAAACATTTATTCAAAAATTAGACATGTATCAATAAACTTGGATAAAAGGATTATTATCACTTTGTGAATTAAGCAGACAATCCAATCAATAACATGGACTTGTAGTATAATCAGTTGGCCTCATCTCATTACTTTCCAGAGATGCTCTGGGTCTTAGTAGCAGATGTAGATGAAGTCAAGGGTAAGTTTATCCAGGCACATAGAATTACAGAAAGAAAATTGGGTCAGACAATGCAAAAACAGGGAACCAAGGGTACTAAGCTTATTTTTCACTGACATGGTAGAGAGGGGGTGGGAGGAGGGAAGAAAAAATTCCCTAAGGAGGTTATTAATATGAGAATATGAATTAATTAAGGAACCATAACTATTAATTAGGGATGAAAAACAACTTTGATGGAAATAGGAGAGGTTAATGAGTAGGAAGTTGTGTTCAGAGGCAGATCTCAGAGGCAATATGATAGATAAAAAGTAGTTATGAATTATTTTGCAACACAAAGAGTATGTATATGGGGAGCCAAAATTAAGTGAAGGACACTCATGGCTATTGTGTGAATGACTAACATCAATAACAATAGCCAAGATAAATAGTCAAATCTTGTTAACTCTTTTTAATGTGCTAGACACTGAGCTAAGTGCTTTACTTCGGTTCATTCAATTCATCTTGGCCTACTTTGTAGTAGATGGAGTTTACATTGAGATGATTACCCACTCCCAAACTAGCTGATTGATTGGTCAGTGGTTTTAATACTCTATGGACACAAACTTGAAAAACAAATAACCTCAGATAATTCAACTACAATCAAAGTTTGTCTTTTTTTAGAGACCTTCAAGCTGCATATAGGCACATATAAATAGTTCATTAAGGACACTACAGAGCAGTCTACTTAGAACAGAACATGTAGTAGGACAATGACCATGGCTAAAGGGAGTATGTATCTGAACCACAATCTATAGACTGTGAAAGAGCCAATCAATATCTCAAACACAACACACACAAATATACATGCGCCTATCCACACACAAGCCTCTCTAAGAATACCTGTCTTTAGAAAATACAGAATTGTTTTTGCAGGATTTTTCTCTTATTAATTTTTGCTACCCTTCAACTGAATGTGAAAGTTATTTGAGTCTTTCTAATGGCCTAATATGGTTTATTTCTAGCCATTTTTTCATGAACTTCTCACATATTTATAGGAATAATGACCAAGAGTAAGATGAAATTGAACACATGCTTTAACATTAAAATGTGTTAGTATTTTATTTATAAGCAGATAAATATATATGCTCTCTGAACTGATCATTTAAAATGCATCATTTAACATTCTTAAGCATTTGGTTGCATCATGATAGGATAATTGCAGCAATTTTTGTTGCTAATTTTATTAAATAGACTCTCTAGCACTGTATTACCTAATGTAGTTATTGCTATAGAGTTCCAAAACCCCAATCAGGTGAGGTCATGGCTACTCCATAATTATCATCTGTTTAGCTTTGTTAGAATTTTTCATTATAACTTAGAAGGTCAATGATGCTATTCATGATAGGAACCTAGCAAGACCAAAAGTAATAAAACAGCTCTGAGACTAAGCAAGGCTCTGCTACTCCAACTGATGGACAGTTAATTACCTGAGTATAAAATAGTGAGAGCACAGGGAGAAATAGAGAATTTTGCAATATGGTTGATGTCCAAGTACAATATTATTTGGTGGATTTTCAAAGAAATAAACCGTTTAATTAGAAGACATGAACCTAGCCTGTGACAGAGGATACAGTTTCAAGAAAACCAAAATAGTTGGTTCTTTAACATTCTCACAGACACGAGCAATAAAATCTGTTATTAGATCAGTGTTTCTGTTCTTTAATAATATATTAGAATTGCTCAGGAGCTGTACATGCTATCATGGGTTCTTACACAGGCCAGCTAAATCTGAATCCATGGAGGGAAGTAACTGAGCATGGATGTCTTTTTTGATAGAGGGTTTGAAGCTGCTAATGTGCTATGAGGTTGGAAACCACAATATTACAACTAACCCTTCAAAAGTAATGATTCTCAATCTGGTTCTATTTGTGAACAATTTTTTAATCATTATTTCATACAGTTTATGTATAAAAACTTCTGTAGCTCACACATGAACCATTGTCCTTCATTAGTCTTTTTGAAAATTAATTAGACCTTTAAAAACTTAAGGCCTAATTTCTTGTATCATGTAAGAAAACTTGAATATGAAAAACAAAAATAAAGGCTTTTATTACTAAGGAAAAGTTTTGGAATTTATGATTAAGTCCTAAAATGCTGAATAGCATATAGGATTTTTGTTTATCCATAGGTCAGATAATAAATTCTACCCTTTGACATAGGTAAAGAGAAACAATAAGTACATGTAAAAATATTTTATAACTATAATTAGATACTTATTTCATATAAGCATTTTATATAGCATTTACTTCTTTTTATATTTAATTAGAGTATGAATCTTTTAAGAGAAAAAGCATGTCCTTAGTTTCCTAGGGTTTATTTTAAAATGATTTATAATTATATTATCAAAGATCATGACTGTTTGAGAATTAGTTCATCTCTTTAAAGACTGTGCAAAGTGACCTCACTTTGGCTTTCAGAAGGAATGTAGAAGCCCCAGTTTTAAGGGGTCAGTGTTCCTTCCATATAGCTCTTTGATCGCATATAAGACAGAAATAGACTCATCTAAAGTGAGTTTATAGAAAATGTGAAATAAAATGTAATTTTTAAATCTTAAAACCTCTTGCAACTTGTTTTTGTGTTTCTAGTTTGAACTTTTGAAATACTAGTTTTTATATTTAAAATGTCAAAAAATATTTGCTACAGTCTCCTTAAACACCACACATTGATTTCAAAAGATATTCTTTTGTTTTTGTTTTGTTTTTGTTTTTGTTTTTTTCAACTAGGACCCCTACTATGGCTGGTGGCCTATTTTCTATTGACAGAAACTACTTTGAAGAGATAGGAACTTACGATGCAGGAATGGATATCTGGGGTGGAGAGAATCTTGAAATGTCTTTTAGGGTAATTGCATTTTACTTTGTTTTTTGTTTTTTGTTTTTTAACTCTGAACATAGTATGCTGTAGCATGCACATATCAGACCTAGTAATTTGCTGTCAAATTTTCTTTTGCTAAATGATGCAATTTACTGATCAGTTGGTCATTTTAATGCTTACTTAGAAGCCTTGTTAGAGTCCTATTGCATGAAATATTTGCTATAAAATTGGGATTTAAAAATATTTTTTAAGTTTTCAAAAGTAAGTTTTTTATTCATAGTAAAAGGAAAATAGGAGTTTCAACTGCTTTGTTTTTTTTAAATGAAATATTACTCTGAAATCATTTCATGTTTTGGAACTGAAGCTTAAAAATGTTTGTACAATTGGAATTTGCAAGTTCTGCTTTAATTTGTTTTCATATAACTATTAAGATTGATTTATTGTCAAAGAATTCTAGATAATTCTTAAAGTAATATGTTGATAATTGTAGATATTATTATTTTATAAATTTGATAAATCAGTTTGAAAAATGCAAAATTATTTAATGAATAATCTTCCTAGTATATAATTGTTTAGGATTACCTTTTCTTCACAAATATGATATTAGGAAGTAAATAATTTTAATATTTATTACATTCAAAAATTTTAAATAGTGACAAATATGCTTTTATGTTAAGAAATAAAGGCTAGCATATTTTTTCCTTCAAAACATGCACAGCATTATTTTTAAGTGATTGAGTTAATAATATCATTTATTTCTTCCTAAAATTGAATGTGAAATATTGATATACTGTTATTCTGCCCAAATCCTTTGTATAGCAATATTATTAAAGTATAGGTATATTAATCAGTAAAGATTAATATTCATGCCTTTAAATTTGTTATTTTAAAACTATTATTTTACTAATAATATAAATATGTTTATAAGAAAATGTTAACATTTGAGGATAAAAATCCCAATTTTTATAATGCCGATTTTGGTGGATTGGGGATAAATGAATTATTTTAGAAGCACTAGAATGACCTTGTTATACTATGCTTTTGGCTCTTAATCTTCCTTGTAGACAGATGTCTGAGACAACCATTAATGAGAATTTCTTATTTCCATATTTGCTTATATATTTATAGTCTGATATAACCTGGAAAGCAAATTTCAGAACCAGACTTAGAGCTATCAAGTTTCTATAAGGACCATGGTACATATTTCCAGAAATTTCCAGGACATTTGGAAAAACCAAACTTGTTACTTGGTGTAGTTCTCAAAGTGAAGGACATACGAGATGACAGAAAGGAAGGAAGGAAAGAAAAATGAGATCAACCAAGGAAGGAAGAAGGAAAAAATGAAACACAAAAAAAGCTCACAAACAATTTGCTTTTACCCTTACATGCAATAACAAGAGTATTTACCCATCACTAATCAATACTCTGGTACTATGCTGGAATTACATAAGAAAAAAATCAACATAACAACATTGCTATTAATTCTCATACTAATGGTTACCATTTCTTTTTCTCTCTTGAAATTTTATTTACCTCTTTTTGACTTTTCTGTTAAATGTGATTCCCTACCACTAGTCTAACCTTCATTTTGACTATGTGCTATGAGCTTTTGAATTAGATGGATACTCTTCCATCTAGCTGAAAGATGTGTTAATAAGGAATTCAGTGGACTAACATAATAAACAAGGAGACACTGGTCAGAAAATGTAACAGAAGCATAAACATATAAAAAGGATTTATAATACAGCTATCAGGGAGACAGAAAGAATGCATCTAGTGGGCATGTGAATGATCAGATTTTTAGAAAATGATGAAGGAGTTTCTGTGTGTGTGTGTGTGTGTGTGTGTGTGTGTAAATAGTCTCTTGGGAATATTTAAGAAATAAAGTACTCATGAGTGACTGTTTTTCAAAACAAAAAGCTAGGGAAGGGGAGAGCAATAGGAAGTATTAAATGTGGGAGGATAGCTAGAGATTAAAACATTAGATAGAACTGAGAAATGAATAGCCATATAAAATAATTGGTCATACAATAGGCTAACCAAATTGTGAATTACCATGAAAACTACCATCTCTCTTTAAATAATAATCTTTGAATAATAATAATCAGCATAATTTTCACCAATATGGATTGTCACCAAACTCTTGAATTTCATAAATAATAGTACAAGAAACAGTGTTTCTAAGCATATATATCCTTTCGTCCATTTTAAAATAGATTTATTGCCACTTTTGAATCAGTTGAGGTGATTTTAAAACAGGGAGTTCAAAGGCAACAAGGGCCTCAGGTCTGACTCAAAGCCATAGAGGGTAGACTGAGGTTCCAAGCATGGACTAGGATTTCAAGACGCAACCTGGGTTCAAAACCCAACCCTGGCAGTTTCTGATAAGCTTGAGTAAGGTACTATGCCTCTGAAGCTTCAGTTTGATTATCTTTAGAACAGGAAGGACAGAACACTTCCTCATATATTTGAGGGAAAGATTGTATGAGATTATGCACATAGTGCTGAATACCATTTCAAATACACGTAAAGTGTGTCATTATTGGCATCTCTTATACTGATGGTTATAAGCTGTGCAACATTGGGAAAACCACAGGATTTTTGAAATCACTTATTAACAACCTTGCCCTTAATAATCTGACCTCAATCACAGACAATGAAATGAGAAAATGCATGCAAATCCTTGAAGACCAGAATATACAATATACATGTAAAAATTGTTGCTCTAAGTGTCATTCAAGATGTAGCTCTAGCAAGAGAAGAAATTAATATTTTGTAAAATAAATCTTTCTATATTCCCACAATAAGCTTTGGGATAATGACTGTGATCTAATAATCAAGGATGGAAACTATTTTCCCACACCCATGAATCAGTTTACATAAAATATCTTTTAAGTTGAAAAATAATAATGAAAACATTATCTAGACTTGGAGACCTGGAGTAACAGACTCTACATTTTCCCCTTTGCTAACACTCACCTGAATCAATTTTTTAAAATGAACAAATATATTTGAAACAACACTTGTGAGACATTGAACATCAGGTCATAAAGGACAGTGGTCCTGAGAGATGGGAAACAAACAAGAAATGCCCAAGAAATGCCTTGATTTACTGCCTTGAGAAAGCTTCTAATCCTCAGTGGTGGTAAGAGAATCCTAGACAGAGCCTGCAGGACACCATGAATGAATTGAAGAGTGCCTGGAGAGATCAGAGCCCCTAGAGTTTGCTGAACAATGCACAGGAGAAAAAAAGAGGTGCATGAACAGGGAACTGAGGAGACATGCAGAAGTGACCACTTGAGTATTCAGCTGCCTGCTGATGCACACATACTAGTGAGGAAAGGATTCAAATTTTAGGAAAGAACCATCAAAAAGGATTAACAATGTTATTGCCCTGTGATCTCTCCAGATAATCAACAGTAACTATATGTTCCACACAGTTTTATTTGTGGGACATGGGGGTAGTATAAATATTGGGCAATTACATAACCCAATAACAGATAACTCATGTATCAAAGAAATCACAAGTGAAATTTATAATATTTTGAATTGAATGAAAATGAGAAAATAACATATAAAATTTGTAGTGTCACTACAATTATACTCAGTGGTTATTTATAGCCCTAAACATCGATATTAGGAAAAAAAACAATATATAATATCACTAACTCAGCTTAAGAAACTAAAAGAAATAAGAATAATTCCAATTGATCCAAAAGAAAGGAAATAATAAATATCTAAGCAGCAATAATGAACTATGAAGCAGCAACATTTTAGGAAAGGCAATGAAACCAGAATCTGTTTCTTTAATCAATGAAAATAAGATCAATAAAGTATTTAAATTTCTAACCAAATTACCTTGACAACTTGATAAAATGGGCAACTTCCATGAGAGCCATAAACTATCAGAGTTTACAGGAAGAAACAGATCAGCCAAATAGTCTTACATCTAGTAAAGTAATGAAACTAAGTGGTGAAATGGGTTTAATCCCCAGTAACAACAACAACAACAACAAAAAGCACAACTTGTCGTGAGGAAGAAACACTACAATAAGATGATGTGAGAACTGTGCAAACATTTTAAATAGAAATAAGTACATTTGTAGACAAACTCTTTCCAGAAAATTGCAAAAGAGATGATACTGCCCAACTCACCCTATGAACCTATGAAGTCAGCATTTTTAAGATGTGAAAAACTGACACAGACATTGTAAGAAAACTATAAATTATATCCTTTATGAACATCAATGTAAAATTTCTAAATTAAAATAAAAAATCAAGACTCTCAATAGGCAGAACAAATAATACTTCTAAGTGATATTCAATGCAAGATTGATTTAACATTTAAAAATCCATCAATATAATTCACTATGTTAACAAACTGAAAAAAACTAATTGATCATCTAAATAAACTCAAAAAATGTATTCGACAAAAATCAGCTAGTGCAATAAAAACAATGAATTAAAGCTATCCATATTGGGAAGAAAAAGGTAAGATTGTTGTTTCAGATGATAATATCATCTGGAAAATCCCATGGAAGTTACCAAAATAGTATTAAAATTAAAAGTCATCTTATCAAGATTATACAATATAAGAACAATGCAAAAAAGTAACTTGCATTTCTACATAGTAGCAATAAACAACATCAAATTGAAATTTAACAATTATATATGATAATCAAAAATATGCAATAGTGATGAATCTGACAATAGATGTATGAGACCTCAATGGCAAAAACTATAATGTATTGTTGCAATTAAAGAAGGCCTAAATAAATGCAAAAATATATTTATTAAGTTTATAAATACAGCATGATATTGAGATAACAATTCTCCCTCTTATCAATATAGATTCAATGTAATACTAAGCAAAATGCCCGTGGTTATTTTCCTTGGTAGAAATAAATGGACAAGTTGATTCTAGAATTCACATAGTAATGCAAGTAATGTAGAATAGCCCTTCTTCCCAAGAAAAGGTTTAATAAAGAAAAGAGTAATTAACAAAATATGATTTCAAATTTAATTTA